CTTACTGTTTTTTTATAACTCCGTCTTCTTTATTCGGTCATTTAGGTTATTTCTATGTGACTTTATTAAATAATATTTAAAGATAAATTATTTTAGATAATTTCATAAGACAATAATGTTAGACTTACTGTTTTTTATAACTCCGTCTTCTTTATTCGGTCATTTAGGTTATTTCTATGTGACTTTATTAAATAATATTTAAAGATAAATTATTTTAGATAATTTCATAAGACAATAATGTTAGACTTACTGTTTTATATAACTCCGTCTTCTTTATTCGGTCCCTTAGGTTATTTCTATGTGATTTTATCAAATATTTAAATATTTTAAAATAAGTTATTTTAGATAATTTCATAAGATAATAATGTTAGACTTACTGTTTTTTTATAACTCCATCTTCTTTATTCGGTCACTTAGGTTATTTCGAGCAGAACCTGTATAATTGTATTTCAGTCGTACTATGTCCATCATATCCATTGCCAGCGACGCATGGTACAAGCTGAAATACCCGGGGAATACTTAAACTTAATTAAAACAATGTAAGTTTAACAGCAATCATATATTTCAAAGTAGTCAATTGACCATAAACTTTATCTCAAAATTTTAAAATTATAACAACGCTTCTTCATAAACAACATTTGCAGTTTGCTTTCCATTTACCAACAAATAAAGATTTTGAGGTGATCCCACCCTTGAACACCCTACATTTCATTGACCATGAGAAAAGCATGGTTGTTTGAGAAACAATCCAGCAACTTTCAGACTTTTACCTTGAATCCCTTTAGAATATTCAACATTGTCTAAACTCTAAAGCGTCAAATTGCCAAGATTGTTGGAGGTTGACTCAATAGGCTAGGAGTAATTAACCAACAGGCTTTACAAAATAGAAATATGGTTAAGTTCAATTTTGACCCCCATAGGTCATTCCTCACAGTTCATAGTGTTTACATACAAGCTTCGCTTGAGATTGGCCCGGTAGGCTCGGAGAATTTAGGGTGCAAACACACATTTCATCCTTACATGTATAGATTACAATCATACTTTGCCAGCAAACGTCGTCTACACTATTACAAGTGTTCTTCTAACAAATGGGTTATATAAATAACGTTCCCACCACTTCTGTATTTGTTGTATTCCAGCGGACATGACGAACTTTGGTATTGAGTAGTATATATATTTGCCATAAGACAATAGTATTAGGCTTATTCGATCCCTTAATTGTTTTTGAGAAGACGAGTGTGTAATAATATTTTAAAAACAACATGTCCGTCATATCATTTGCCGACAACAATTTTACATTTTACATCTCGGAAAACACGTGAGAGACCAAATAAAGAGTGTAGTGTTAAAAAAATACAATAAGCCTAATACTATTCATTGCACCATGGCAATATCACTTATAATAACCACGCTTCGGGCAATATCACTTATAATAACCACGCTTCGGAAGCAAAAGACGTTCACACTATAACAACTGAAACTATTTCATGTGTGCCTCCCAGTGGCACAGCGGTACGTCTGCGGACTTACAACGCTAGAAACTGGGTTTCGATACCCGTGGTGGGCAGAGTACAGATAGTCCATTGTGTAGCTTTGTGCTTAAGTTCAAACAAACAAACAAACAATTAATGTGATGCAATTTTCACGTAGGACTGTAGACAATGTCAACCTTCTGGTTATACATCTCGATATCCGATAATGTTACAATAAATATCACTTACGAACAGGAGATAAATTGTGATTATGAATAAATATCCGAATACGATGAGTGTCATTTCATTATTCATATTTTTATTGGCGAAAAAAAAATCGCCGTTAAGTTTCTTTGGCCAGAAAAATCTCTATTAACGGGGTATACTTGAGCTTTATGACTACTTTTTTTCACTACAGAATATACATGCGTATCTAAAATCTATATCTTCATAATTATACATCAACATTTGGTGCTATTCCTGGAAAACTAATAAAAACGAGAATGAATAATAAGTCAATACTATTTTAGGAAATACAAAATAAAGAAACATATATACTTTATATAAATCTTTATAATAAAATAATACTTATCTTTTAGTTTAATAAAAACAAAATGTTGGTTATAAGGAAAACGTGAGACTCAACCAGTTCTCTTACCTTTAAAACAATTCTTAACTCCGTTTAAACGCTAAAGGCTGATGAAGCATCAGAAACCAACAGCCCAGGAATTTATGATAAAATTGCGTTAATTGCGTATGTTTCTTCCCTCACTTCTCTTAATTTGTCCATAGCGGATTCAGAATCAGGGGCGTGAAAAAACAGCATTTCGGACCTACCTTTTATCTCCTACAAGTCACTGCCCAAGAGACGCGATTTTGAGTTCGCAATCGACAAATTAAGAGAAATGTTGGAAAATTCATCTGCAGTTAACGTGATTTTTATCACTAATTTTAGCATTGGTAATTTTACAGTTCGGTCTACTGACATTTCTCACATATCTAAACATTTCATTTTAGATAAAAAAAATAATAAAGTTTTGATGACTATAGACCAAAGAATTCAAATAACAAAGATGAGGTTTCATGAAATGAACTGGTAAAGTAAAAAAGAATGAAAACTAAGATGGTCGTTCCCAGGAAGAGATAAAGAGGCAAAATGATTATATTTGTGTGTAAGCATTCCTAATAATATAAAATAGGTATGAATTTACTTTTCGTTGTCTTAATCCCTGCCTAGTAAATATCTAGATTATTACCCACAGTTATTTCGTTAGGTCCATCCATTTTAAGTATTCTATTTTAATACTTGCCTAACAATTATATAGATTATTACCCGCAGTTATTGTATTAGGTCAACCAATCTTAAGTATTTCCATTCCATTTCAATACTTGCTAAGCAGCTATCTAGATTATTACCCACAGT